AGGAGACATATGTAAAACTTTGGACTATTAAAAAAAAGAAAAAAGAAAACAAAAAAGGAATGCAACTGGAAATCACATCCTATATCAACAAGCAAGGAAATCACAGCAAAAACAGGAAAACACAACCACTGACACTAATATTGACATGAGGCACGTATTGAAACTATCACATAAAGATTCGTAAAAAGCTATGAAAATGTGTTACAATGAACATCGAAATTAAATTCGATGGTGGAGTAAGAAGTCCTGGCTCCTCCATCCCCCAACAAACACACCAATTCAGCAACACTTCACAGTTTCCTTTGTGAGAAACCAGAAATGAATAGACAGCCTCCTGCACAACATAAAAGAGTGGAAAATCAGTTACCAAAGCCAGTAGGGAGGATTGGGAGACATTTTCATCAGAAACTCTGCCCCAGAGCACTGCCATATGATCAGAAAGACATCCTCTAGTCACCGTCCTACTGATGGGTGGGAAGCAGTTTGCTCACAAGGCCAGGGTCCTAATGTTTCTGAGGGGCTGACCCAAAGAACTAGTATCTGTGACAGGAGTCCTGGAGATCTGATGGGTTCAGCACAGTCTAGCCACCCAGGCAGCAATAGAGGCGGTGGCTAACAGCCACTGTTGATTCATCCCCACCCCAACTCTGCCCAGAGTGTATGGACGGAAAATCCCAGCTCTGTGCTTCCTCCTGGGGTAGGAAAGAGTTGATCCACGCATGCAGTGCCTCCACTTCACCACAATTGCCCAAGGAACTAACATCTGTCTCACCAATCCTGGAGTCCCGATGAGTCCCGCACACTCTGGTTATCAGGGAAAGAACAGGATCCTCTTCTGTACTTCCCCAAAGTGAAGGCTGAGAGAGCCTTCTAAGAAGCAGACACCAAAACAGTGAATTAATAAAACAATCAGGAAAAGATGTCTCACACAAAGGAGTAAGATAAATCTCCAAAACTGACCCTAATGAAATGAAGTTAAATGATTTTCCTGACAGAGAATTAAAATGAACTCTCCTGAACATGCTCACTGAGCCCAAGAGAACAATGCAAAAATGTCTGATCAATGAGAGGCCTTATAAAAACGATGAAAAGAAAAATTACATCCCAAGAAGCCAGAAACACCAATCAGAAAGGATATATGCACCTCTATGTTCATAGCAGCTCAATTCACCATAGCTAAGATTTGGAAACAGCCTAAGTGCCCATCAGCAGATGAGTGGATTAAAAAACTGTGGTACATCTACACAATGGAATACTACACTGCGGTAAAAAAAGAAGGAACTCTTGCCATTTGCAACAGCATGGATGGAACTGGAGAGCATTATGCTAAGTGAAATAAGCCAGTCAGAGAAAGATAAATACCACATGATCTCACTCATTTGTGGAATATAGAGAACAACATAGACTGATGAACAGGGACAGATCCAAAGACAGAGAAACAGCGATCAGATTATCAATCCCCAGAGGGAAAGTAGGGGAGGGTGGGGGTAAGGGGAAAAGATCAACTAAAGGACTTGTATGCATGCATATAAGCCAAACCAATGGACAGGGACAACAGGGGGATGAGAGCATGAGTGTTTGTGGGCGGGGGGAAGTTGGGGGTTAATGGGGAAATGAGGACACATTTGTAATACCTTAACCAATAAAGAAATTAAAGATTTTTAAAAAAAGAAAAATTACAATATAGGAGAAAATATCTGCATACTGCATATCTAGCATAATACATATTTGCATAATACATACCTATATTTAGAATCTATAAATTGCTCAAAAATTAACAATAGAAAACCAACCAATCAAACTAGAAAATTGGTAAAACTCATTTCATGGATATTTCACTAATTAGCACATGAAAATATGTCCAACATCATTAGTCACTGGGAAATGCAAATCAGAATCACAGGAGATATCACTACACATCTATCAGAAGGGATATTTTTTTTTAATCTTGAGTAGTGATCAAACAGTGGCCAGAATGCAGACACTCATCTCTCATACATTGCCACTGGAAGTGTAAGATAGTACAGCACTCTGACAAATATTTTGGTAATTTCTTTTAAAATATAAACCTACACCTACCATATAGCCTGCCAATCATATACCTGGGTTTGTACTCCAGAGAAATAAAAATTTACATTTTATCTAAATTAACAGAATTATTGCTGTAAAGCATTTACAATACTCCCAAATATTTTTCTCTATGACTAATAAAATCTACTTTCATCCCTAATACTGATGGATTTACTTCTTATTCTGCAGAAGTCTTACTAGGATTATTAATTTTTAGTTATTTTAAGGAACTAATTTCTGGGCTTTAAATTTTTCTACTCTTTGATTTCTGCCCTCAAGTGAATTATTGTCTTCCTCTACAATGTTGGAACCCTTTATAGAGGTTGCATTTTGTAGAGGAAGGCTATTAATTTAATGGTAACCCTCCTTACTCCTCTTATTGCTGGGCTTTGGGCTATGGGGTGAAGAATGGGGGTGATATTACTCTAGATCCCTTTTGGTCTCAGCTGAATGCCTACTCACACTAAGCTAACCGGGCTGGACAATCCATTATCTCTCAGTACTGTTTGACCCAGAGTAATGATTTGCAACCAGCGTGCTGCAAGAATTTTTAAAACATGCCATACCTGACTATTAGTCAGGAGCACAGTTCTCTTTTCCATTAGATTGTGAAATAAAAATAATGACAGCAGCCAACACAACAATAGCCATCCAGTGTAAATGAATCAAAACTATACCTATTTTTTGTCAGATCAGCCAAAAATAATATATATTTTTGGTGAGCTGAAAAATTTTGGTAATTAGTTAATGTGAGCCATGAGATAAAAAAGGTTAAAAACCACTGACCTATAGTATTATTTCCATTTTACTCTGTACCCTTCAGTAGAGTCTTACCCAGCACATATGCTGCCTAATCCTCAATCAAGAACACAAGGCAACTACGCTCTCACCAAAACATTCACCTCTAGCCCTGTCTCCTTCCAGTTCCTAACGGCTGCAGAATCCCTGAACTCTAATCTCAGTGGCTGCTTGGTTCCACCTCCCTATGCAGTGCTTATGACATTATTCACAGTCAGAGAGTCAAGTTAAATGTGAAACTCACTTTCTAGGTGCCTTTTTTCTCACAGAGAAAATTCCTGACCTGCCTATTGTCAAATGTCTAAAAACAGGTACCTCATGTATAATATTCTGTTGTGCTTTCTACCTGTAGATGGTGAGTATAACATGCTATACCAGATACCATTTTTTGTTTACTTATTTTGTTTTTAATTTATTTTTATTGTTGAGAGTATTACAGATGTCCCCCATTTTCTCCCTGTCCCCCCCCTCCACCTGGATCCCGCCACAATGCATATATTTTAATCTCTCAATTTCAACACAGAAATTGAATTTGACCAATCATTTGTCAAACATTGGTTTCTTCCCAATCATATGTTCTGGCAAAATGAAAACCTTTCAGACTAAAGCTAACTTTCTCACATGCTTTGAAAATTTTTTCACTCCTACCTGCATCTTGGATTACAATTGAAATTCCTATGTTTCATGCTGAACATATTCAGTTTCTGTACCTAATATGTTTTTGTGTCCTCAGTTTCTCAGTGGTCAATCTACAATTTCCATCATTACCTCCCCACTCAGATCCGAGGATATATCAATTTAAACTACTCAATGTGTTTGGGGGTTTTTAGCTTTTTTTTAGCACCTTCATCTATTTTTTGTTTGTTTGTTTCTTCTCAAACTCCTACTAATACTTCCAGATATTAAATGACCATCTTGAATAAGCAACTCCTAAATTTTAAATTTAAAAAGTAGTTGTTCTATTCCATATGATTTTATTGCAATTGCCACATTATACTTGGATTTTTTTTATCTGTTTGCCCAATAATACTGTGGAATATAAAACATTATTTTTCTCCCCACCGATGTCATATTAACCATGTAAAACATATAATCTACACAGTATAAAAGCAAAACTTACCTTTTCAAATGAAGAATCTGGATACAACTTTCCTGACTTATTGTATGAATATACCAGGAAATGAGGATGTAAAAATGACCTAATTCAACCAAGATAATGACATTTCATGGTATTAATTTCATTGATAAAATTAAGTTACAGAATCATGAAATCAAACAAAATTTACTGTCAATTATACAAGCTCAAATATCCGAAAAATTAAATGGACTCATCTTTCCATGATCGAAATTGCTTTCTAATAGCATAATGTGTGTGTAAGAGAAAAGAATAACCAGTATAACCACACGCCAGTATGGAAGCTGCAATAACACAACTTCACCTGAAGTAAAAACCAAAGCTACTAGGTTCCCACCACAAAGTTTACTTTTAGATTTAACCATCAATAAATCTAATAACATAAGTATGTCAGTTAATATTTACTAAAAGGTAGCCATCCACTGATAATGACAAAAAATATGCATTTATCATTAGTTTTTATGAATTTACTAGAGGCCCAGTGCATGAAATCAGTGCACTTGGGTGGGGGGAGTCCTTCAGCTTGGCCTGTGCCCTATCACTGTCCAGGAGCCCTCAGGGGATGTCCACCTGCCGGCTTAGGCCCGGTCCCCTAAGCCGGCAGCCAGACATTCTTATTGCTGCCGCGGAGGTGGAAGAGGCTCCTGCCACGGCCGCTGCGCTCCCCAGCCATGAGCCCAGCTTCTGGCTGAGTGGCACTCCCCCTGTGGGGGTGCACTGACTATCAGGGGGCAGCTCCTGTGTTGAGCAGGATTGGGCCAAACTGGCTCTCCAACATCCCCTGAGGGGTCTCAGATTGCTAGAGGGTGCAGACCAGGCTGAGGGACCCCAACGGTGCATAATCGGGGCTGGGGAGGGACACGGGAGGTTGGCCAGCCAGGGAGGGACTGCGGGAGAGCTCCAGTACATTGTCCGGCCTGTCTCACTCAGTCCCGATCAGACAGACTCCAGCAGCAAGCTAACCTACCAGTCAGAGCGTCTGCCCCCTGATGGTCAGTGCATGTCATAGCAAGCAGTTGAGTGGCCTTAGCATATCATTAGCATATTACTCTTTTATTGGTTGAATGGACAACCAGATGACTGGACACTTAGCATATTAGTCTTTTATTTTATAGAACTAGGGGCCCGGTGCACAAAAATATGTGCACTGGGGAGGGGGTTCCCTCAGCCCAGCTTGCCCCCTATCACATACTGGGAGCCCTAGGGGATGTCCTACTACCTGCTCCCTGCTCCCTTGGGGAGTGGGCCTAAGCCACAGTCTGGCCACCCTTTGTGGGAGTCGACCGGGCTGATCAGGGGAAGGCACCAGCCCCATCACCGCACTGTTGCAGCCACTGCAAGTCAACAATTGCTGGCTGGCTCCGCCCTGGTTCCCCGCCTCTGCCGCCATCAACAATCGTTGGCTGGCTCCTCCCTGGCCCAGGCCTAAAGCCTCTGCTGGAGGCTTTAGGCCTGGGCCGGGGCACCCCCAGCTCCTGCTGCAGCCGATCGCTGGCTGGCTCCTCCCTGACCCAGGCCTAAAGCCTCAGGCC